CAATTCGTAGTATTCTGTTATTATCGTTTTGATTTCATTTGGTTCTGTGGTTTCTAATGCGATTAATTTGTGTCCTCTCCCTCTTTTCTTTAGTTAGTATTGCCAATGGTTTGTCAAATTTATTAATCCTTTCAAAGAACCAGCTTCTTGTCCTGTTGATTCTTTCTATAGTTTTTCGGTTTTTCATCTCATTTATTTCTGCTCTTCTCTTTATTATTTCCCTTCTTTTGGTGACTGTAGGTTCCCTCTGCTGGTCTGCTTCTAGTTGTTGAAGGTGATGTGTTAATGTGTTGATTTTGGCTCTTTCCTCTTTTTGGATGTGTGCATTTATTGCAATAAATTGACCTCTCAGGACTGCTTTCGCTGTGTCCCAAAGATTTTGGTAGGTTGTTTGTTTCTAGGAACTTTTTGTGAATTCACGTTTACTTTCTTCTTTTACCCAGTCACTTTTCAGCAGTGTTGTTCAGTTTCCATGTATCTGACTTTACTGTTTTGGTTTTCTTATTGTTGATTTCTAGTTTTATAGCGTTGTGGTCTGAGAAGATGCTCTGTAGAATTTTGATGGTTGTGAATTTATGGAGGCTTGCTTTGTGGCCTAACACATGGTCAATTCTGGAGAATGTTCCAAGTGCACTGGAGAAGAATGTGTATTGTGCCATTGTTGGATAGAATGCTCTGTATACATCTATGAGATTGAGATGGTTGATTGTGTTGCTAAGTTCCTCTGTAGCATTGTCAAGTTTCTTTCCGGTTGTTCTATCCCTTTTCGAGAGTGGTGTGTTGAAATCCCCTACTATAATTGTGGATTTATCTATTTCTTTCTTCAATTCCATTAAGGTTTGCTTCATGTATCTTGGTGCTTTTTCGTTGGGAGTGTATATGTTTATTATAGTTATGTCATCTTATTCGGTTGACACTTTGAGTATGAGACAGCGTCCTTCTTTGTCTCTTAAGCTAGTTTTTATCTTAAAGTCCACTTTGTCGGAGATTAGTATAGCCACTCCTGCTTGTTTATTCCTGCTGTTGGCTTGGTATATTTTCTTCCATCCTTTGACTCTCAGTCTGTTTTTGTCTTTCTGTGTAAGGTGTGTCTTTTGTAGGCAGCATATTGATGGATCTTGTTTTCTTATCCATTCTGTCACTCTTTGTCTCTTTACTGGTGCATTCAATCCATTGACATTCAATGTAATTATTGATAAATGTGAACTGATTGCCGTCATTATGTTACTTTTTTGGTGGTGTTGTTTGTTCTTTGTTTCTGCTTTCCTTCTTGAATTGGGTTTGTGTTTTTTGAGTTGATTCTGGTCGGTTTCTTCCTAGTTTCTCTGTTTGCTTGTTCTGTTTGGGGGTTTGTTTTTATGATATGTTGTGGTGTGTTGACTTTCTTTGTAGTCTACTAACTTTTCTCTGCATTTAGGATACTCCATTGCATCCTGTAATTTACCTGGCTTCCCCACCACCTGGGTTTTCGTTGCTGCATTTGTCCCTTCTTTGACATTGATACGTTTATGTCCTTTGCTTGATCTCTGAGCTCCCTTGTGTTTGATGATGTAGTCTTGTTCTGTTCCGGTTTCTGCTTTCTGATGGCTGTGTTTCAGGTGGCGTTGCCATTCCTGTCAATCTCTGTTTGTCGTCTGTTCTTGTTGGTTCTCCTTCCCCAGAACTCCCTTTAGGACGTTTTGAAGTGCTGGGTTGGTTTTGATAAAATCCCTCAGATTCTGTTTATCCTGAAATGTTTTGATTACACCACCATATTTGATTGATAGTTTTGCTGGATAGATGATTCTTGGTTGACAGTTTTTTTCTTGCAGGGTTTTGTATATGTCTCCCCATTGCCTTCTTGCCTGCATGGTGTGTTCTGAGTAGTCAGCACTTTTTGCTTGCCTTTATAAGTTATACTTCTCTTCTTCCTGGCTGCTTTTAGTATTCTTTCCGTGTCTTTGATTTTGGATAGTCTGATTATTATATGTCTTGGGGACTTTCTTTTGGGGTCTATCCTTCCCGGGGTACGTAGGGCTTCTTGAATGTTTATCTTCTTATCTTTCAAGATGTTAGGGAAGTTTTCCTCCAGAAGCTCCTCAACTAAATCCTCTGTGGATTTCTTTGATTCTTCTTGTTCAACATGAATCTTAAGACTCTCTTCGGATTGTTTTATCCTTTTGGCTGCGTGCTCTTCTATCTTGGCAGCACTGAGAGATTTGTCTTCAAGCTCACTAGTTCTGGCTTCCATCTCTTCTAGTCTGCTCCTCTCACTTTTCAGACTGTTGTGTATTTCTGATATCTTGTTATTGATCACTTGGACATCTTTTTGCAGGTTTTGAATTGTTTCCAGGGCTGTGTCAATCCTATTAGATTGTTCCTTCAGCACTTTCCTTACTTCTTCCTTATTTTCCTCTACTCCTTTTTGGAGTATTTGATTTTGTTTCCTTATCAGTCTTCTGAATTCCCTCTCAGGCATATCTAGAACCCGCTCCTCCTCCTCTATGAAGCCTTTGTCTCCAGCTCATTTACATCTTCTGCTCTTTTTTGCTTTTGGACATCCTTCGATAATGTTAATTGTTTCTTATTGAGCATGATTATTCTTATTTTATTATAATTATTGGTAATATGATCAGGAGATAGACGGTGGGCGGGCGGTTGGCGGGCAATTTGGGCCTCAGTTGGGCCTGGGCTTCAGTGGCAGGCCGTTTGGGCCTCAGGCGGGTGGGTTGACCCTAAGGCGGGCGGTTTGGGCCTCTGGGTTCCTGGGTGTCAACGACTGGGCTACAGGAGGGTTGGGCCTTGGGCGGGCAGTTTGGACATCAGGGGGCCTGGGTATCAGCAGCTGGGCATCAGGCGGCAGGCCATTTGGGCTTCGGGCGGGTGGGTTGAGCCTAGGGCGGGCAGTTTGGGCCTTTGGGGTCCTGGGTGTCAGCGACCAGGCTGCAGGAGGGTTGGGCCTCGGATGGGCAGATTGGGTATCGGGGGGCCTGTGCTTTGGGGACCGGGCTGAGGGTGGTTGGGCCTCAGGGGCCCTGGGCCTCGGTGACTGGGCTACTCAGCGGGTTGAGCCTCGGGGGCCCTGGACCTTGGTGGCAACTGGGTTGTGGGCCACCTGGGCCACGCGGGGGGTTAGGCGGTTTGGGCCTCAGTTGGGCCAGGGCCTTTGTGACCAGTCTGTGGGCGGGTTGGGCCTCGGGGCAGGCCTTGGCCTCAGTGGGCATGCCTGGGCCTTGGGAGGGCCTTGGTCTCAGTGGGCGGGCCTGTACCTTGGGCGTTCCTGAGCCTCGGCAGCTTGGCAGAGGGCTGGTCTAGGCCGAGGCAGTGGAGGGCGGAGGGTAGTGGCTTCAGGGAGGTGGTATCTGTATCTGATGACGTAAAAAATGCCTGTCTCTCTGTACCGTGGGTACCCCGAATTTCCTGATATCCACGCCGATATCTCTCTATGGCAAGGAAACCCCTTTGGGAGGGGCTTTGTTGGCTCCTGTGCCTTTGTTAGTTTATGCTTCCTCTCCTCTGGAAATGCAACCTTCTAAAAGGGGTTGCTCTAGCCCTGCACTCCAAGCTCTGCAGGGGGCGGAGGCACTCGCCGCAGGAGCGGGAGCCGAGTGCAGGCGGGCAAAAGCTCAAAATGCCTGTAATTCCTCAGCAATTTGATCTTTTAAAAAAAACAAGTTCAGAATGTTGAAATATAAGATCTTATGTCTGCTCAAAGGCTGTCTGTCTGCTTGACGGAGGTTTCCTGTGCGATTCTGCCTGTTTTCCCCGGAGCCTGTCCTACCTGAGCTGCCTGGTCAGGGAAGCGCCGGAAGCCTCTGTGACATTAAGTTTTGACTGCCTGTGTTTGGAAACAGTCTCACCTTCAGAGTCAAAAACTTCAACTGGAATGCCAAAGTTTGTGACTGCTTTCAGTGCTGTGAGCCTGTCGGGGCTACTGCAGTCCAAATGTTCTGCCGCCTCTATTTCTGTAACCTGTTTTTTAATTAGAAAAAAAAAAAATAATAATAATTGAACTTGCAAAGTATGACACTAGTAACTAGAAATAAGTAAAATGATTTCTGTTGTATTGGGAGTCATAATTTTGATGCCTACAAAAGGATGTCCAACCAGATTATACTTTCAAAATACGATTTCAAATCTCAGAAAAAAGTGTCCCTCTATAAATCTAAATTTCCCTGTGATGTGTTATGTATAGTTTGTATCATTTGTTTTATACAAGCATCTAAAAGAAAAATCAATAATTGCCTAGGTGTGCCTGACTTGTATAAGAGCTTTGGGTGGTTATAACAATGTCTTGTGTATCTGACATACAATAGTAAATGTCTCAGCCCACCCATTTCCATTCCTATAGTAGAACTTTTCTGAATGACTCTTTATAAAGCTGGGGTATCAATGTTGCATGGGAGACACAAAATCCTAAAAAGGGTGGAATTTTATTTTTGGAATCATGGGACTAAAGTTTCCATAACCATAACACTGCTTTTTAGGAATAGATGAACCAAGACAATTAACACACAATTAATGATTCTAATGTACATACTATGGTATTGCTTTCCAAGCAGAATCAGTCTGAATACCTGATTTCTTAGCTATAATAAAACAGCAGAACTGCTCTGTAGGGTTTCTGAGACTGTAAATCTTTATGGGAAAACCCTGCCTCATCTTTCTCCTTCAGAGTGGAAGGTATGTTTGAACTGCTGACCTTGCAGTTAACAGACCAATGCCTAACTCACTACACCATCAAGATTACTTCTTGCCTACATATGGGCTAGAAAAGTATATGGTGAAGAAAATGTAATTTCACAACTTGGCACCAGTATATATTATGGTTTGCCATTTTAGCTGGGCCCTTAATCCTATTCTATTCTTAAATTCTTAACCAATTTCCTTTCCTATTCTCACATTTTCTTTCATTCTTGCCCCCTCAACTAAGCACATGAACTTGCTTGCTATCTCCTTCTTTGAAAATAACAGGGCTATATAAATTCCTTTACCTTGACATCAATCTTTACTTGATCCCTTATCTCCAGTTTCTCTTTTCCCTCAGTTAAAATGCTTAACTCTCTCCAACCTTAAACAATTTTTTAAACAAGTTTTCTCGACTCATTTAGGTCCCTGAAAAGATACTTGCTACTTATCTTCTAGTGGGGCTTCTATGCAGCATGACACTGATGAACCCTCTTTTCTTCCAGGCTATCATTCTTTCATGCTTTTCCTACTTACACTAGTGTTGTTAAGTGCTGTCAGGTGGGTTCCAACTCATAGTGACACTGTATAGGATTTCTGAAGAGTAGCTGGTGAGTTTGAACTACCAAAACTTGCAGTTCAAACCGACCTTACAGTCCAGTGCATTAACCTGCAGCGCCACACAAGGACTCCTCACTATTAGCATACTCCAAAGCTCTCCCTTTGTCCTTTTTCCCAGTTTATTCAAGAGGAGCTTTAAAAAGCTCATGGAAAAAATTCCATTTTCCCACGAACCTTTGGAAACTCTCTACTATGTTTTCTATGCTAATGATTGAAACAAACTCCACCTTTAACTCAATTTCCAAGTCCACATTCACAGATCAGAACTTCGATATACTTCTAAAATCATACCACACCAAGGTGCACTCTTTCTCCTTCAGTTCTATCTACTCCACACATCAGGTCCTGTCAACTTAAGTTCTATGATAGTTGCAAAATCTGAATTCCTTTACATTGTCATATTATGTTTTGTTTTTTTTTTGTTAGAAAAATGCATAGCTTCTCACTGGTCAGTCTTCTACCAGTCTCTCTCCTCAACATTTTATCAAAGCATTTTATCATCTAGTATAAAAACTTCTTAGCAATGCAAACACTCTTCATCACTTGTTCTTCATCATCTTTCCATTCACGTCTCACAAAGTAGCCCTCAACAATCCACTTTCTGAGCTCTTCACACCCTGCTCTCTTGGACATACTGTCAAGACAGATGTAGTTCTGCCACTTGAGATGCCTAGCGCAACATGTTTGGGTAATGCCTATTTCTCCTCCTAAACCCAGTCCATTGCACATCTCTTCAGTGAAAAGTTTATGTAAATTCGGTTATTTTTCCAACCAGGGTTTCCAGAGCACAGATTCTCTTGTTTCTAGGCTTGTTCATCCACTCACAAGTACTAAGCGCCCCACAATCAAAAGTAAATTTCTTTTACCTCAGCTGGTACACAAACACTAATTTTAAAACAAACAGAGCTTTAACATATAGGTCTATTAGCTTTATCTCTTTTTACATTTCTTGTAAAGAATATAATGTAATTACCTCCATGTCTTTTGTTGAGTCAAGTGTCTTCGTCTGGCCTTCATCTTCAGTTAATGACTAGATGGGTCAAAAAAAAAAAAAAAGAAAATCTTAAAACATACAAAAAGGAAAAGTAAAGTACTAAGTTTCATGGTAAGAGAAAGGAATAATATAAATTATTGGAAAATGAGCCAAATTTTTTGTTGTTGTTACTAGTTGGCTCCAACTCATAGTGATCCTATGCACAGCAGAATAAAACACTACCCAGTCCCGAGCCAACCTCACAATCTTTGCTAAGCCTGAGTCCACTGCAGCTGTCACTGTGCTAATCCATCTTGTTGGGTGTCTTCTTCTTTCTCTTCAACCCTCTACTTTACCAAACATGATATCCTCCATGGACTGCTCTCTCCTGAAGGTATTTCTGAAGTATGAGAGACAAAGTCTGGTCATCCTGGCTTCTAAGGAGAATTCTGTAGGTACTTCTTCTACCAAAGATTGGTTTGTTCTTTTGGCAGTCCATGGTACTTTTACTATTCTCCTCGAAATGTCATTACTCAAATGTATCATTTGGTCTTCCTTATTTACTGTCTAACTTGCATATGCAAATGAGGTTATATAAAAATACCATGGCTTTTATCAGGCCATAGTATTCAAACTGTCATCTTTGCTCTCTAACATTTTAAAGAGGTCTTGTGCAACAGACTTGCCTAATGCAATATGTTCTTTGATTTCTTGACTGCTACTTCCATGAGTACATCCAGAAGAGTTGTGGGATGACATCAAGAACATCAAACATCAAGAAAGCAAAAAGGTATTAAGAAGAGAACAAACAAGATGGTGAATAGGGTAAAGGTGCAGTGAGGAGCTTGGTCAGCAACAAAACAGAATACCAGACCAAGCCGGTTTAGGGGATGTTCCCAGAACTCTGAACCACATATAAAGGAATATTTAGAAAGTTGGAAGGCTTACAGCCTGTGGAATTTGTAGCAAAAGCAAGAAATCCAGTGCTTTCTAATCCAAGACACTCAGCTACTCCCTGAGCAGCCATCTTGGGTGAGACCAAATTGGGGAAGGACCAGAGCAGCCATGGACGCCTGACAGAAACGCAGAAATAAAGATCTGGACATTCTTTTTCTTTTTTTATATATGTGTTCATTGGTCAGTTGCTGCTTGCACATCTCCACTGTGGTGACTAGAGGGGTGCCTGAATGAGTGGACACCACACCCCCACCCCAGAGGGATCTATTATGCATGCATACAGATCTCCTCAAAATTTAAAGGGAGATTTCCATTTAAAACCGAACAGCAGCACAAAACGGCCACAGGTGGCCCTGAGCCGTTTATCAATAGGAAAAAGGCCTGAATGGGAGTTGTGGAGCAGGACAGGCAGACTATAAAAAGGAAACAAGCTGAAAATTAAATCCTGATTTATGTCGTAACAACCCAACAGTGGCATCTTGAAATTTCTCAGAAAGAAGAATGAAAAGGGCAGCCCATCTCCTGATCACATCTACCTGGAGGCAATCAGAAAGCACAAAAAATACCAAAACTCACACCCATCTAAGTACTAAGGCCACAGCTAACTACTGAATATGCACAAAAAACAGAAGCAGATGATCAGATCAGCACATGTCCAGAAATGAGATAAAGTGACTTGAGACAAATGAGCTGGAGGGAGACCTACACTCCATACTAGAAGGAGGGAAGGCTTTGGAAATGCCTGAGAAGGAATTCAGAAAAACTATTATAAAATGTTATCAAAATACTTTACAATGGAGTTTAGAAAAATAAGGAAGAAGTCAGGAAAGCACTACAGGAACAATCAAATATGATAAATACAGCACTGGAAACAATTCAAAACCTACAGAAAGAGGTCCAAACAATATATAAGAAAATATCAGAAATGGACAATACACTGAAAAGGCAAACGAGTAGAATTGAAGAGATGGAAGCTAGAACTAGTGACCTGGAAGACAAATCTCTCAATACCACTAAGATAGAAGAGCAAACAAAAAAAGTATAAACAAATCTGAAGAAGGCCAATATTCATGTTAGACAACATGAAGAAGAATAACTTAAGAATTATCGGCATTCGAGAACAAGAAGAATCACACAAGTCCACAGAAGAAACAGTTGAAGAACTGCTGGAAGAAAATGTCTTTAGCATCCTGAAAAGTGAAAAGATAAACATTCAAGAAGCTCAACAAACCCCAGGAATGATATACCCTAAAGGAAAATCACCAAGACATATTATAATCAAGAATTTCAAAATCAAAGATAAGGAGAGAATCCTGAAAGCAACCAGGGAAAAGAGAAGTGTTACATACAAAGGCAAGCAAGTCAGATTAAGCTTGGATCTCTCTGCAGAAACTGTGCAGGTAAGAAGGCACTGGGGAGACATATATAAAGCCCTGAAAGAAAAAAACCTGCCAACCAAGAAACCTCTACCCAGAAAAGCTGTCAATCAAATACAATGGTATGATTACACCATTTTATTAAAATATTCCAGGATAAACAGAAGCTAAGGGATCTTGCCAAAGCCAACCCAAAGATGAAAAACATCCTAAAGGGAGTTCTGTGGAGTATGAACCAAGAAGAACAGACAACAACCAGAAATTGACATACGCGGCAGCTTCATTTGGAACTCAATCCACAAATGAAACAGTAGAGAACAGAATAAAACTATAAGAACAAATTCAGAGGATCAGGGAGGTCAGTCTGTGATTAAAACAATTACAATGTGAAAGAAGGTCAACACATAGGAACAGATGTTGCAGAGGTTCGAGGCCCTATAGGCCCAAGTGTAACAGATCTAGCCACTTGGCAGTCAATGGCAAATTGTTTTTCATCTTAATATTCAGTTACATGTATTAATTTAATACAAGAAGCCCTTGATAATCCACACATAAATGTGATATTTTCCTAAAGCCGAAACGAAAGGTTGCAAGGTCAAGCCTTCCTCCAAAAGATTAACTAAAAACATCTTAGCTACTTCACAGTTCTTTGTTCTACAGACAAAAAAGCCACCCACCCTGAATCTCTCCCAAGTGTTAGCTATTCAGCCAAGTTCCTGAAAACCTGGCTTAGGAAGCCAAAATAGCGGGACTCTGCCCAAGCTTTTGTCCTTACCTCTCACCTTCCCCCAACTGAGCTCAGGGGCTATAGATATGTTATTTGAGCCTGAGAAACCAAGTTGCTGGCCTGGGATTCGAACCAGCGAAGTACGATGTAAAGTTACCTGAATGTCTGGAAAATTACTGATGCTAGCTGTACCTTGCCTAAGTCCCTCCCAGCTTGGTGTGAAGCTCCTCCCCTAAATAAAACAGAGGCCCAGGCCTCCCCAGGTGTGCATTACAGGTTGGAGGGCATGCAGTAAAGACTGCAGTGCATTACAGGTTGGAGGGCATGCAGTAAAGATTGCAGTGCATTACGGGTTGGAGGGCATGCAGTAAAGATTGCAGTGCATTACAAGATGGAGGGCATGCAGTAAAGACTGCAGGGCAATGAGTTGCTGCCTGCAGAGGCCACGATGCCTGTAGCCCCAAGTCTGCCCACCAGTGATGTATCCACCCTGGTTTTGGGGTGCCTCATTGTCTCCCTTCTTCTGTTTGTCTGTGCATTCTTTCGCTATCTCTATTGCCGCTGGATCTCCCCTCCTCATGAACCAAACACTTGTGAACAACACATATATGCAGAGTCCAGTCCCCGGCAAATAGAGATCCAGGTGGTAAGAAGGTCAAGTAGATTATAGGATAAAATACACTGTCTTAAATGGAGGGAAAAGTTAATGGAATATAAGGTAACCACAACGCTGTGGGTTGGAGGCTTAGGGAGAGGTGGAGAGAGGCAATGGTAGAGCACAGGGTAAGGGCAGACACATCATAGTTTGGGTGTTGGGGAGGGTAATTCAAGAAGGGGGAGGAGTTGGAAGAACAAGGTAGATGGGGGAACACAGACAGGTTCACATGAGCTAAGTGGAACAGTGGTAAATATTGATGCATGCTCAACCTTGGAACAACAGGGCTCAGTGATATAGGGATCTAGGCATAGTTTGAAGAGGGGAAATAATATTAAGATGCTTGACTGTCTTGTGATTATTGGTTTCTCTTGCCTACTATTGTACAATAGACACTTGAACGGGATAGAAAGTAATGTCGGGAAACATGCTTCTAGAAAACATGTAAGCCCTGTCTTCAGCCTATAACTGACTGGAATACCTAAAAGGGGTTCTAAGAACTTGCCCAGCGAAACAGGCCTCTTGCAGAGCCTTTGCAGAGCACAGAATCTTAGGAGGAATCTTGAGTCCCATTCAGAACCTTCTGAGGTGGGATATCCCCACTAGAAATGACAAGCAGACCAGCCTGGAATAGCTAGAGTGACAGAAGATACATCTTCAAAGAAAGATCAGAAGGAAAAACACAAGAAAAAACTGTCATTATGACTGGAGTAAGCAAAAATAAGTAAGCTGTCTGCTGGGAAGCCATCAAGGTAAGCAACCAAGTTCCTTCAGGACAAACCTCACTTTAATATTGAAACTCAAAGGGAACACATGAACAGGCATGTAAGATTGCTGGCGACCACATTTGTCTACTTGTGAGTGGAAGAGGGGGAAAGGTAGCAATGAAGAAATGGGCTGAGTTCAATCACGGTCCATTGACCTGCAGATGAGAGAAACAAGATGAAGGGCTGGTTGGTCCAAAGTGTGGTGAGACCTGAGGACATCTGAGCCCATGTACAAGGACACAGCCACAGAGGGCTAGAGCTGACAGTGAAACATCCAGCTGATATGAAGTGAGGGGAGATCCACAAGAACACTCAAACTTGCAGATAGTACCCATTTGACCTAGCCTCAATGGCTTGATAATCAGAACTCAACTAGAGGAAGATTAAAAACAAAACTACTTCTGATACAGGAAACAAGGATAAATAGCTACAATTTGACCTATACTTATTATGGAGGTAATAGCTCAAAATACCAACAGACAGGGAAGGAGTCTTCACATCAAGTATCAATGCTGCCCCCTCTATATACAGGGTAGATAGGGATGGGCAACCTGAAATGACATTGGCTACCTAAA